AAGTTGGAGGCAGTCTTCCGGAACACCAGATTACCCGCTTTGTCGGCCTTCCAGGCCTTCACTAATGCAAAGTCGGCACTCATTGCCTCTTCCAATACATATGACTTCCCGTTGAATACCTTTTATATAAATTAATATTCAAATAGAGTTAACCCCCGGACGGGCACAACAACTCACCCTATCCTCTTTGGGTGCGCTATGAATGGCAACCGTGTGGTCGGAATTGTATTTAACAGGAGTTCCTCCCAAATGGATCAAAGTCTGGTGACCGGTGGGGGTGAAGAAGGCGGGAATTCCTGCCGCTTTGGCCCGAATCCTCTCCGCGAGTGTTCCCTGCGGTACGAACTCGAGCTCCAGTTCTCCGGACAGGTATTGTTTGGCGAACTCCTTGTTTTCGCCCACATATGAAGACACCATTCGTTTGATTTGTTTGCTTCTCAACAGTAATCCGAGTCCGAAGTCTTCGACGCCGGCGTTGTTGCTGACGACCGTCAAGTCCCGCACCCCTCGACTCACCAGAGCTGAGATGCAGTTCTCGGGAATCCCGCAGAGACCGAACCCCCCGACAAACACTCGCGACCCGTCCCTCACACCCCCCACCGCCTCCATCACATCCGCGCATAGTTTGGCCCCGAGTGAACAACTTGTGCTCAACTGTCGCCCCAATTGGACACTCAGTCTCCACAACACACTTCTTGGGATGTGCTTCGCTTGAGTGTAACTTCTCATTAAATTGATGATTTGGTTAAACAGTTAATAAAACTGAACAAAAATAAAAGTGTTTATTAAATATGAATTGTTTTGTAACATTGAATGAGTTATCGATGAAAGCAATCACTTGACGCAACAACTTTTGTGAGTTTGTCTCAACTTTTACTATTGATATAAGTTTTAATTAATCTCTTTTTATACATAACGTAATGATATTATTCATACAGTATATATTTTGCTAAACTTATTATCTAACGAGTATATCAATTGTAGCGTATTTTGTTTGATATAAAGCAGTAAAAGATGTTTTCAATCACATGTTATCACATGAATAACAGGTTCTAATGGGTTCTTATGGCTAATAAGAAATGATGGCAAGAGATGGAAGTGATGCCAATGGCATGTCTTCTATGGAGGAGTGGCTTATAAGAGAGGAATCAGTTTTGAAATACAGTAAGAGATGAACAAAACTTTTAGTTGTCGTCCACTTATGAACATTGCTATGAAGTCCAGTCAAAGTTGAGACGAATATCAGTTCATTCAAAGCCATTTACTTTACAATGATTTTCAATTTAGTTTTCACAAGTTTTCAGCTATAGTTTAGCACTTAATTATTAATTATGAAAAACTTATTTTCAACACTTTTTATCGATGTGTTGGCCGCTCTATTGCTGGCCATCGAGTGCGCCAATAGTTCCCGATGTGATATTGCAAGAACCAAATGCGCCTATAGGTAACTAATACTCTCTCTCTCTCTCTCCCTCTCTCTCTCTCTCCTCTCTCTCTCTCCTCTCTCTCTCTCT